ATTACTATCAACCTTCACCCATTCAGCTGGAGACTCACTCATCTCACTTATAAAAGTTCATGTTTTAATCAGTTACTTGATTGTGGTTGGTTGACTGGCTAAATCCTTGATTGTGGTTGGTTGACTGGCTAAATCCAAGTTAAATTCAGCATTGCTGTAATCAAGGAAATGTATCATCTTGCATCGTTTTGCTTAATTGAATAGAATATATCCTGACGGGGCATTTCACCAGAACCTTTGGCGCTCGCAGCACTAGGTCAGATTCGGATGTGGTTGGCCTTTATTTTGAACTGCGGACCAGCTGGAGTGCAGTCAGTCAATACCCGCCGAATAGCAGACTGACTGGCACTTTTATAACACTTCCATAGCTGAAAATGTGAAGCGTGTTTGACAGCTTATCGCAAACTAGAACGTTGGTCTCTCCGTAAGCAGCCCAGCACGCTAACGTCTGGACCAAGGACTCAGACTTTTTTATTTAATACTTTAAAAAAGCAAATATAAATTAATATAATCAACCAAAAAATTTCCATGTGAACATGTGACAAACGAAAACAATTTATCTTGTACTGAAAAGGCTTGTTTGTTATGAATTTCGCGCAAAGCTAAACGAGGGCTATCTGCGCTAGCCGTCCCTAATTTAGCAGTGTATGCGCCTTGGTTGCGTTTTAAAAATTTCATTTTCCTTCTTACTCTGTGGTATTCCACATTTTCCCTCAGAACAGGCAGGGGGTCCACTAGCTGGATGTTTGAAGAATACCAGACTATAGAGTGTTTGATTATTTATCTCTGTGATCTCTAACTGAATTCCTTGTAAAAAACGAGTCGAATCATGGAAAGTACACAATAATAATCTTTAACCACAGAACAGAATTATTATCATAATACACTACAACAAAACAAGGGTAAGTATGCCTGTTGTAAGTGTGTTGGACTGGCGCGCGCGAGAGAGAATAGAAGTGAAACCTTAGTGATCTCTCTCAGTAGCCCAGTGCATGCCCCACCCCTGTAAAGTAAACTTACAACACTGTGATACTTAAGTGAAGCCCCAAGTTAAGTTAAAATAAAGTAACGTCCTGTACAATATGACCTCAAAACTAGGGTCAGCTATGTCTTACTGACCCTTGTGTAGTTTTGTACGAAAGTCTAAAACCAATAAGCAATCCTATTCGCGTTTCATCCGGCAGTGATTTGAAGAAGCTGATTTGTCGGGTGGATATGGTAACACAACTGATCAGTAAGGGGACAGTGACTGTCTTAATTAATTATGTGAAATTTCACATGTAAATTGGCTCGATAGACTATTCAAATCAAAATAAGTGTATATAAATATACTTTTTAATTCCTAAATACGTATATACCTTTGAGTTTTCGAATATTTATACATTTTGTACTGTCTAACAAAAATTCAACAAAAGGTTAAAGTTCTTCTCTAGTATAACAGAATAGTTTGCGTTATTGTATTCTACATCCATATTAGCTCTCCAGATTTGCTCGTAATATTTAGCAGCAGCAAGGAAATTCGTAATACATATCTTTCACATAAGTCCAAACTTGTTGTTTTGGAAAAGCTCAGCAAATCATGCATTAAAGCTTTTTATGAGTTTTTAAAAATTGACAATTGTTCTGCTTATTCAAAATGAGCGTTTCCGTCGTCTGTATATTTGTTATTCTAAAGATAAATTATCACAGAAATAGTTTCTGCCAGGCAGTTTTTCCAGATTCAAGAGCACCATATTTCGATACGTGACGTATATCCGTTCCTTACACCACTTTTAATAATCAAAGTTATCATGAACCCAGGGCACCTAGTTTCTGTTTAGGCCTAACGTATTTATGGCTTATGAGTAAAAACGTTTGACAAAATCAAAAACTATCATAGAAAGAAAAACACTCATGCAAGATTTTTCTAGAGTACCTTGACGAATGCTCAAATGTAGTGTAAGTAGTTGTTACGAAATGCCTTTTTTTTAATGGAATGTTATTTTTAGGTATTACTGTTGCATACTTCTGTCAATGTGGTACTAGTAGTAATCACTAATACTAGTAATACTAATAGTGTAAAGTGTAATTATTAACATAACGTTGACCTAAGTTATGTTATACGTATTAGTATAACACTACAGCAGTACTAGTACTATAAGTACTTTTTTACTGACTCGTCTGTCAGTCGTAAGGCTAAGCTAACGTTAAGCGTTAGTATTAATGTTACGGTAAGTGTAAGTTGTAACTTGTAAGTGTGATGTTAGTAATAGTAGTTTATTTAAAAAAATTAAGTATTAGCCTACACTCAACTTCAAGTAATATTCTGTTAACATTGAGAATGTATTTTTATATTCCATATTCATATTTCAAGTTAATGATTTTAAATAGTGGTTAAGGTGTACCGTTAGTACCAGGCAGACTAAAATTATAAGACATTACTATTTTAGTATTTACTGCCATGATTCATGAGCTTATAGTTTCTCAGTCTTAATTACCGAAACTTATAAAAACTAAAAAAGGGTGATGTTTAGAATCGTGTATGTAAACTTACTATATTTATGTTCATATTATTATTAGTTATTAAAAATAGTTTGGGGAGGAAATTTATGGTAAAAAGTGGTTAAATATTAGGTACTAACATTTGATGAAAACATATAATTAAAAAAAAGAGGGTAGAAAATTGTATATAATTTGGTTTTAACTATTTAAGAAATATTTTACCAAATGGTCCCCTGTTGTCCATATCTTGTGTTTTGAGAAACACTTTTGGTACAGTAATAGCACAGCATTTGTTCAAAAGGTTGTGATAATTTTTTTTTTTTACTTTTAAACTATTGATTCAACACAATGCCTTTTCTTCTTTCTAACCTTGGTCTCTAAAAAAAAGTAAAATACTCCTCCATTCTCCTTTGAAAGGTCTTCAATGTTACAGGTTCTACTGCAGTCAAAGGCAAACTATTCCATGTGTCAAATACTCTCATAGATAAGTAACACTGCCGTAACTGGATCTGTGTTTGTTTGAGCTTTCTTGATCTTTTGTCCTCTAGACTTACTTCCAAATTTTTTGAAAATGTCACCTGAATTTATTGATTTCAAAACAATCGGTCTTGAAAACCTCAAGTCTCCCCAAGTCTTTCTTCTTTCCAGCTAAAACATTTCAAGATATTTTAACCCATACCAATATGATATCTGTTGGGGTCTCCAGTTTGGTGGATAAAGCAACAGACTTCCATCATGAAGACCCAGGATTGAATCCTGGCCACTACCAACATAGAAAAAGTCTTTCTTAAGATATTCCTGAGGATGGCAGCTGATTAGCAGCCAAAATTTAATAAAAAGCTAGAAATTAGTGTCTAGATATAAACATTTTTTATTACCTATTGATAATTAGACTTAGCTGATTGTATAGGCTACTAGCCATGATGGCAATTAACTTCTGATTGCTACAATGTTACTGTAAGTATACCTTATGTTTAAAAGGTTAAAGGTAAGATTTTAATGACTAATTAGTAGACAAATAACCAGTGCTTCCAGTACATTATTGATATGCATATGTATACAAAATGGCAACAAATTTTTTAATAACTTAAAATTATTATAAACAGTAAATTTTAAATATTCAAAAACTAAATGAAAATGCTCAATATTTTTTCCTACCAGTAGAATTGTTAATTTTGGTAAAAAAAATAAATGTAAGCCCCAGTTCATCCTTGGCACATGTAAGTGAGCTACAGTGTTGACCAATTTAAGAGAATTCCATCCCTCATCATTAACTGTAGACAAGGGCAAATAAAGTTAGACTATACAAAAATCATTCAGTGTTCAGTAAGGGTTTCTTTCATCTTATACTGCTTTGCTAGTGTTGTCCAATATAGTAATGAAAGTTTTTGTGGATTGGTAAGGAATTAGTTTCTCTTGGAACAGTATTCAAAATATATGTAAAAAAATTAAAATTTTTTTACATCATCAAATTAGATAAATTGAATGGTATTTCATAGTGAGGCTATATAAAATATTTATATTGCTGATATCCAATTAGCCAAGCAAGATGTGGTAGCAGTTTTGTTCCTAGGTTTTACAGTTTAAAGAACCCATGTCTCCTTTTATCAAAACTAAGGACAGACTGTGGAAATCTTGAGGGACATCCTTGAGATATATTGAAAAGTATTAAAAAGGATAATTCATGAACAACTGTATTTAGTTGATGGAATAGGATTGTTTTATCACTGTTTTGCTATTTATTGTACAACGCATAAGTTTCTTAAATGAAACCTAAGTGTTTTCTGTGGATTTTACACATTAAACATGTGTAACTTAGTTGTTCTCAACCCAAAATGTCATGGGTGGGTGCCTCACTAGTGCATTGATAGATGGTAGTAGTTCTGAGGTTGTCGTAGTCTATATAAATACAGTTTATTTTATTACTCGTCAGTAATATAAGTCACCTGCAACTACTTATACATCATATAATTTGTTTTAAATATAGACTTAAAATAATGAGTCATAAATAGCATAAAGAAATATCAAAATAGTCATATACCTTATGATAATCAGTGTAGCCTGGCACCTCAGTTGTTTTGCCCTGAATGCAAGGCTTGCAGATGTGATAGCCTTGTTTTGGATCTAAAAAAATTCCATGCTTGTGGCCTTCTAAGTGATCAATAATGGAACGAAATAATCTTGTTTATTACTTAAAACATGTGTAACAGAAAGACTTGTTTTAAAAAAATATGTTTACTCATAGAAATGTGCAATTGACAGATCAAAATGTCAGCCATGCCACTGATCTTGCAATGTACTGTTTTTAGATGGGGGGAGGGGAATTAAAAAGTGCAGGATTTCTGCGCTTTCAGCACATCACCACCATGATAGACTAATACAATTAGGTTACAGGTTGGTTATTAAACAAAAACTTAAGTCAGAAAATGCACACATTTTAATGATTGCTTTATTTTTGATATTCCAGCATTTGTATATTTTTTGTCTTTGTATCTTGTTTACATTTACTCTTGGATTTAACTGCAAGTTTAGATCTTTGACTGACTCTTTCACTGCTACATTTATAGATAAACAACTATCCCAGTACCAGGTTTATTTTTAGAATCACTATAAAAAACAGACAATTTAATACCTTGTTACCTGAAATTTGAAACTGGTAAATTTTTGGAAGTTTTAAGGTAAACATCCTTTCTTCATGATGGTAAAAATTCTAAACTCACATGGCATTGTTCTAGTGGGAGGACATATATGTTCTCTGCTCTTGACAGTAAAAGATTTTACATAGTATGACGTACTCCTTAAATTCTTAGCATACTTAAGCTTATTAGTACAGAAATAGTGGGAAAATAAATAGTAAAAAAGCATTTTTGTTTGTGTTATGATCCACTGTTGGTTGTGAAGAGTTGATAAATACTATTCTGCTTCTTTGTTTTCTAGTTTGTCTAGGTTCAGGTGTTAAGTTAATCTTTGAGCTGGAAAAATCAAAATAACTTATACTGTACACCTGATGATACAGAATCCATATTTGTCAGTTTAAGATAACTATTTTTAATACTTAGAAAAGATACAAGTGCATCCCATTGGATTTCATTGTATATGTTTTGATAAAGTGTTTTTCTGGTTAACATCATTTATTTGATATTACTTTCCTAAGGAAAGCAATTTTCTGCTTGCTTATTTTTTTTAGTCTCATAATTGAAGGAAACCACTCAAACTTGTGATACAGGGTTGAGTACATAATATTAAAACATGACCACATCCAGTATAAAGTCACTGTGTAATAGCATGCATTAGAACTACATTTTGACACTGTGTAGATAGTGTTATGCCATACAAAATTCATCATTTTTGAAAAAGGTATGCAACTGCCTTTTCCAGTGCAAAATATTGTTATACTCAAATCACAAAGATGTGGTCATATCTTGAATTTGGAATTTCCAAGATGAGGATATCCATTGAACTTAATGCTTTTGGTTATATATAGACTTGGGACACAAGGACTACCTAGAAAGAAACCTGCAACAAGTCATACCCCATCCTTAGTAAGCAAAGTGTGGCACCTTGTATCAGGTGAGAATCCATGAAATCAGAGGTCAATGCAAAAGCTATTCATGTGACCCTGGTAACATAATCAGAAAATATCTCCATCTGAAATGAGGCAACAGGGTATGGGTTCATACTTTTTGTTCAACCATTGCATACCTCAAGCAACTACAGAATGTAATGGGTATTCAGGTTATTTCTTATGAAGACATACCAGTCAAGTTGCTGAATGCAGCTCTTATGGATTTCTGTGTGATCAGCCTGTTATAACAGGTGCTGGGAAACCCTTGTTTGTTTTCACTTGATGTATTATGGAAAGTATTCAGAGAGGAATAATGTGTTTTGGACATGACTACCTTATGTCAGAGCATTTTGCAATGGAAACTATGCTGCAGGGCTATTCCCATAATGTATGATTATCAGGTAAAGTATGATCAGATGTGGTGATATGAACTGTAATGACATGGTTAGGCTCCAAAATAATTTTAATATATTGAACTCAACCCTCTGAAGATGTTTTTTTTTTTTAATATAGTTAGGTAATTACGGAAAATTATATATAATTGAGAGAAAAGGATGTGTCAAATGTAATTAACATTAATATTTGGTATTCCCTGTCTTGAATAATTTTTTTAACTGTAATATGATTTTTTTATACAGATTTTAACTGATGGCTAGACAGTTGATGAAGATCTTAGTGGCTGGGCCATTATGGGAGATAATGACAAGCCATTTGCTTGCCCAATAACAGGATGTAACATGGTAATAAAACTAACAATTATGCTTTTAGTGTGACCTTCATATTAAATGTCTAAGGTTAGACAAAATAAAGCATTTATTTGTTTATTTATTGTGCTGTTCATGATGTCTGCTCTTTCAGATATGCAACTTGCATTAATAATGTTTTTATATGAATTTGTGAAACAAAATCTATCTAGATTTTACTATATAGAAGGTTAACTAATAGTCAACTTTTTAAGCTGGGTGAACCTCATGAGATATTATTAAGATTACAGGTGAAAATATTGATAAAAATGAGGATATCAACTGTTAACTCAATGCAATCTAATCATTACAAGATCTTGTTGTATAACAGTACATACCCCCAGTAAGACTGATTAAATTAGCTACATTATTTATTAAGTTAGTTGTTCTGATATATAGGTTGCAAGGTTATTCCTTCATTTTTATTGTTATGTTTATATTTTACATATTTTTCCTTTATTGTATACTTTTGCTATCTTTTGAGTTTGTTAATAAAAACTGGCTTAAGCCCCTTAGTAATTTAATTGTAGAACTAATGTTTGCAGAGAGATAAAGTGACTATCAACAGCCAATAGTAATCGTGCGTTAAACTGTAATTTTATCTTGTAGAAAATAAAAGTATGAAAGCAAAGAGAATTGAAGAAAGGTATTTGAAACTCAAGGCTAGGAAGTTAGATATTGTGCAGATTACTTGCTTAAGATATTTTGAGTCATAAGTAGATAATTGTAAATTTTATGATAATTTCCATAGTTAGGTTGTTTTCTTTCTGTTTCTTTTTCCTAAGCTTGCATATGCCAAGATTATGTTCTTTAGTTATGGTTATTTTGTGGAGTTAAAAGTTTTTGAAGTTTCAGATGTGTAATTTGTAAAAATCTGGGCCCAGCATTATTTTGAAATTGTAAGTATATTCTGTTTTTTAAAGATTTTAATGGATAATTTTTCTATTAAGAAACATGATAGTAACATTTCAGTTGTTCGTAGCTAGAGTAAAATATTTGTTATAAATTAGCTTGTTTTGATCAAAAGATTTTGGAAGATCATAAGGTTCTGCGACAAATATATCAACCATAACATGGATCATAAGGTTCTGCAACAAATATATCAACCATAACATAGATCATAAGGTTCTGCAACAAATATATCAACCATAAATTAGATCATAAGGTTCTGCAACAAATATATCAACCATAACATTTTGCACATAAATAGCTTGTGTGCTGTATGAGGGATTGATTATACAGTACTTTAGAAGTTGTCTACTTACATGCTGTGGTAAGTACTGTATGGTTCAACAAATAGGAATCAAGAAACATGTTAACAATTCAAAATTTGGAGCTCCAAAAATCCTGTCATTAAACGAATCTTTGAACCTTATGTTTACAAGTTTCAGTTATATGTTGTGAATCCATCTCATCTGGCTGAATAAACATTAATGTGTATGCACATGTACACATAAGTAGCTACAGTAATTGTGAGTTGAATTGTAATTTTATCTTGTAGAAAATAAAAGTATAAAAGAAAAGAGAATTGAAGCAAGCTGTTTGAAACTCAAGGCTAGGAAGTTAGTGTTTGTTAGATTTGGTTTACATGTACGTTATGGGACGCATTGTAGCTTTTTTAAAACCCTTACAGTCAGATGTTATAGGTGAAACAATACACAAGTTTTGAAAAAGGATTGTCTGCATGGAAGAAACACTAATTAAAAACAAATGAACATTTTAAGTGACTATGAAGAAAAGCTATACCCATTTTTTTAAAGGATCCTTACTATGACTAATGTAAATCTTAATTTTACAGTATGCTTAATAAAATAATACTTTTCAAAAACTGTTTTGTTGTTTCACCAGATGAATGGAACATATACTGTGTATTTTTCACTATAACCTCGTAGCTAGTTATAAACCAGTTTCATATTATTTTTTATATGTCCAATTTAGGATGCTTTGGAAGCTTATATAATTGAAATTTGATACTTAATTATTGCTTTGTAAGAATTGTTTTGTATTGTTAACTTAATATATGGATTTAGGGATAATCTAGGTTTTTTATGCTAACTGATGTTATATTATTGGAATTACCAATGAAAATATTTATAAAAGTGTTTGTACCAACTGTAGAATTGGTGTGTTTTCATCTTTAGGAATTTATGTTTTATGACATCGCATATTTGCATACTTCCAATGAGAGTGTTATATCAATCTATGTACATAATGTGTCAAAGTAATTGTTATTTTTCATCTATATAGGTACCTTGCTTTGATTAGAAATTTTTGGTAATAAAACATTGTTACCAAGTGTATTTAACTATGTGCAACTTCAAAAACTGACTATATCTATGTCAAAAATCGTTATCCAAATATTTCAATATGTTTTTGATATGGCAGAAACAAATATAAATTTGCTTGTAATCAAACACCATTCTAGAAATTGAAAATTTGCATACACTTGCTAAATTTTAAAGTGTTGTCATAAAAGGTAAGATTTTGGTTACCCTCTTACAAAAATTATAAGTTATATATATCTCATGATTTTTCACAGTATTTCTTTTCTCAGTGCTAACTGAATTGATCAACTTCAGCAACGATTGAAGCTCATCAAACATTTTTATATTGGTGCTTTTTAGTTCTATTTATCAGTTGTGATTCAAATCAAAGTATAGGATATGGGAACAAGTGTCTTATTTTATCATTATCTTTGTTTCCATAAATGTAATTTGTTTGCATTTACCCCATGCTTAGGAATAAACTGGAACGTAATATTAGTACAAGACAGCCATAGTTCATAGGGATAAAATGAGTGCGTGTGATGTTGTTGTTCCAACTGTAGTTGAAACAAAGAACTCTTTATTGCAACTGAAACAAGTTTCTGAAATTCTAGTTCTTAGTCATAATTGAAGTTTACAGTGAACAGAATAGTGCTGGACAATTAGTGGTATTTGCTAATCGATTAATTGAGAGCACCATTGATTGATTACATATGATCAATTGATTAATACTGTATTTCTCAAACCATGATATACATAAGCAAAAAACAAGTTGATGGCAGGTGCTGCCAGCCAGTTGCCTAATCTTTAGTCAGTAGTTCAAAATTAGTGACATGGCAGATAGCCTTAGTAGCTGTGTTTAATTGAGTTGCTGAAGTAATCAAAAGTAATAATAATCAAAAACCCTAATTTCAATTAGTTGATTACTTTTGTGGTAATATATTTAATCATAATTTTCTTTAGTTGATTAGTTTACATGACAGTAATTGTTGCCCATAGGTAATCAATTAATTTACTAAGTTGCCCAGCTCTAGAACAGAGTTTCAGAAGGGGAAATATTGATGACAAATTATCTTTTCACGTATAGCTAAGATGCATAAAAGGTATCGGAGAAAACACCCAGGTCAGTAGTTTCCAAACTGTATGTCATGGCAAGCTGCTAAGGATGTATTGAAACTTTCCCCAAATGAAGAATAATTAAGAACAGAAAAAAAAAATCCATAAAACAATATTGCACGTGGCAGCAAGGGGTATCATAAAAATCGAGGAAACTGGGTTAAGGTATCTTTAGTGAAAAAAGTTTGAAACCATTGATTGGGGTAATCAGCTACCATGTTGAAATAGCAGGAATTCATATTAAAGAACAGATTTGATGAACAGGAAACTGCTCTATTCTGTTGTACACTGCCATCTGTCTAAATAACTTTGATTAATTTTAATTGATGTGATTAGCCCATGTGATTGATACCGTTGAATTGTATTTTTCTATCCTTTTGCAATTAAATAAATAATTCCTAGTTCAATAAGCTTTAAAAACATGCAACTAATAAATCAGATCTTAAAACATAAATGCTTTGAAACTATGCTAACAAAACATATTTAAACACATCCTACTGAAGGGAGGGTAATCTTATGCCTTACTCCATACCTGACAAAGTTGAAAAATTACAAATAGTAAAAATATTTCAGATGAATTATCAGATTTGAAGTGGTTTTGGGGGATGTATAAATCTGTAGAGATCGAAAAACACCAGTATTGGTTAAGTCTTTGTTTCTTTAGTAAATGTTTTGGCCACTTTAAACACATCAAACTTCCACAAATAGTCCTGCTAAGTTGTATAACAGCCACTGTGTTACCAAAATTGCTGAATTGGATGCTAAGTGGGTTCCAGTGTGAACTTTTTTGATACGTCTGTTGTACTGTGGTGCGTTGGTTTCCTTAAAACAGAAAAAAAATCAAGCTATTATTTTATTATTAAACATGTTTTGACCAACCCATTAACAGTATCCATACCTATGCACAATGATCATCATACTTGAAGTTCATTGTGATTGGTAATGTTATATCAACTACATATAACTGACTTGTTGAGTAATGATCTCGTAGTATTATTGAGCAACTAAGTAATTAATGTGTCCCATAGTTAGTGGTTGTTGTATCTTTATATAAAAAAAAACTAAATGAAGAAATGAATAATATATATATGAATACACCCTAATCATAAAAAAACGTGTATTGATTAATGTTTAAGTTGCATGAAATTACTAAAAAAATGAACACATGAAGCAGATACTGTTGTATGTGTTTTGTTGTTTTTCAGAAAATCACATGTATGATATTTTCTAAACATTATAGAACCGTTTTTGTTATTTTTTCTGTTTAGTGCTATGACACTTATAGCCTACATTAAAAAAGTTCCTATTTAATATTATCAACTTGAATGGGGCCCTAATAGAAGTGCTTCTACCCAAGTGCTGGTTGGTGTTCTCATTAAAGTTATGTCTTGTGTTGTTGAGCCTTATACATGTGAATATGTTAGTGAGGATAGAATTCTTTGATTTAAAAAAAAGTTCATTTCAGTTGTTTATTTGTGGTATGAATCATACAATTTGTGGAAGTTTAACTTGGTATGAGTGGCTTGTTATTATTGTTAACTTTGGTTTAATTACTGCCTATGTTTTTTGTAAAAAAAATAATCATTTGCTAAAATTAAATTAGCATTATTGACATTATTTTAATATTTATATGTAAGTTGAATATTAAAACTGAATGACGAGATTCATCTCAAAAGGCAGTTCATGTATCCACATAAGAAACAATGTTAGGAAACATCTTTATGACTATATAGATTGTAGAATGTGCTGGAAACTTTGTGTCTGTGTGAATTATGCATGTACGCATGTGTGAATTTGACTTATAGATTGTTTAAAATAGTTTGAAATGCAGAAATTATTTTTGAGTCATATTTCTATTTAGCAAAATAAAAACACATCATGAAAAACTAGTGTATATTTCATGTATTTTTCATTGGTCAGGCCAGACACTATATGATGAAACCACAGACACTACACCAGCTTACCGTCTGATACAACACAGCAAAAATTCACATACTTTAAAACTATCTCTTAGTTTCCAAACTGTGGGTTGTGATCCCATTTTGGGATGTGAGAAGATGATTACAATTAGGCCTACTTTTCTTCTGTTTTAAAAAGCTTTGAAAATCACCCTCTGAATGTGTTATTTGCTGTGGTGTTTTGGATGCTGTCTGGGGTGACATAAAAACGGGGTTGCATAGGAAAAAAATGTTTGGGAAGTGGTGTCTTATACTAAGTTTTACAGGCACTTCTTAAACTGTTTCAGTAATTTTTAAGTACGAGTTTAAAGGTTGTAGACCTAGGAATAGTCGTGTAAATTTTTCTGTTTTAAAAAGTTTCGATTTCATTTGCTACTTTTCAATACTGTAGTTTTTCTAAAGAAAGAAATTAAACCAGTGCAACAGTTATTTTTCAGATTTTTATTTTTGAATTTTTTGATAGACAGAATAGTTGTAGTGACAATATCTTGGTTGAATATGATTTTACTGCTGAATGAAAGAGGAAGTTTCATCTTGTGATTAATCATTGTATTGTTGAAATTTCATTATCATATTAGTATAAATTCTGTTATTTTTACTAATTTAGGCTGATATTGCATGAAATTAGAACGTAGTATAGAGCAGTTACTAGGTTTTATATATAAATACAGGATAGTTTTTTTTTTAGTGCTTATGATACATCTGCATTTTATGTTATTTTGAAATATAAACTGCATGGTTGATTCATACTAAAAAATTAATCAATACTAGATTAGTCCAACTGTTACTTATAAACATGTTTGGGGTTTAACAGCAATGGCATAACTTCTGTAAGATCATCATGCCATAGGAATTTGGGTTATTCAAAGTAGCATACATTGTTTTTGTCTTTGAATTTCTTATAAAGATAGCAAAAGGAATCACTAATACAAAGTGAAAGGGGAAATGTTCCAGACTGAGCAGATCTAAGGCAAATGTAAGTAATGTATATGAATATGTTGTTATAATTTTTCAGTGGTAAGTTTACTGTGTACGGTAGAATATCTTTTACCTTCTTTAGTTTTCATTATTATGCTATAAGAATGTTTATGAAAGTCCTATTATCAAAAACATTGTCCTTTTTTGTAGTTCTTTCTGTGCTGAAACATTTAATGGTTATTATGGGCTATTTCAGAGATTTGCAAATGAAGATCACTTGACTGTTCATAAAAGAAAGCATGATATGTCACTCAACTTGACCAGTGGACTATATATGAAGTCATCTTTTGTTGGTTTGTTTATTTTACTTATTAATGTAATGAAGTTAAACCTAAACAAATTGATAAACACTTCAAATGAACTTGTGTCAAATTTATCAAAGTTTATTAAATTAATGGTTTACAGATGCTCTTGTGAAAACATCGTTTCTTTGGCGGAGGTATATTGAAAGTAGATCCATGCAAACAAGTACTTAGAAAAGCTTTCTAAACCACTTTAATGAGTAAAACTTTGTGTCATTAGAATACTTGTTAAAAAGTTGTGAAACCATTGGTTATCATAACAATCCCATTGGCTAAGTAATAAAATTTTAAATATCATCAACTTGTATATATGCTGATAAGAATGCATTCTGTTATTTCCTTTCAAAAATATCCAAATTTTTATATTAAAATTTACACTTGAAAAAGGGTACATAAAATGCTGAAGAAAAAAAAGGTAAAAAAATCATTGTGAAATATACCAATGTAGTAATTTCTGTCTAATACCCAGTCTGCGAGTCAGGGAGACATGTTTGGTGAGTTGATTCTCAAACAAGGTTTTCCAGTACTCTCTTCTTTTCTTTTTTTAACTTCTCAATGGAAACTTGAATGCATTGAGATATCTGGAACCTGAACTGTCCACCAGTGTCTCTACAATCGCACCAATTTCCAAGCTACGAGGAAGCAAAATCCAGACTCCTACACAAAAATTGGTAGTAGTTCTACATGTTGAGCAATACAAAATATGGTTCCTCAGCTCTATATACCTGTTTTCTTCACATTTTTTACAAGTTCTGTTAATGTAGATGGCTGAGGAAGGCTCAACAAGGCTTACTTAACCACTGCACAGTGGTTAAGTGCAGTACCTGCCTGAGCACCAACACTTCTACTATTGTGTGGAAGAGGAACACAGCCCTGCCCTGCTAAATTCTTCTGGCAGTAAAGTGTTTGTTTTTTTATTGTTGTTTTTAAGTTCTTTATCTAAGCAAATATTTCTTTGTTCTTATCAGAATACTAGAACCTTTAACAACCAATAAATATACCCTGTGTTATGTGAAGTGTGGTAACAGCAATCTATGTTCAGTGAATTTTAAAATACTTAGTCCAAAGTGGTATACCCTAGGGGAGCCTACAACCCCAAGAGATTATTGCAGATAGGAATATTGTCTTCAAAGGGTATTACTTATGGCCTGGAAATTTATAATCAAGTTCCACACCAAAGTTGGAGATCCTCTGCAATCAAGAAATCCCAACCTACTGAGAAGCCAACATCTAAACCAAAGTATCCAGCAAAAACACCAAACTTGAAAAGAGCTCCCACGTAACAAGAGTGTAAAACCTACTCCAGTATCCATTAACAACTCTCAATTCTCTCTCCTTCCTCATCTTTTGCACCTTGCTCTCTGGCTTCTCTCTAACCTTATTCATGCTCCCTACCTTCTCTCCACCCACCAATGTAGATTCTGTCCGCCTTTTACAGTTACCTACACTATACACACAAATATCTCAAATTCTTAACACATTCCCCTCAAATAAACCATACACATACCTACATTACACATAAATTCTTAACACATTCCCCTCAAATAAACCATTAGGGCAGATGAAGAATGTGCTCAATCCCTCAACATCCTTAGGTGAAATCCTTCACCCCAAAATTTCTTATCTTATTCTTGTAACTCCCAGTTCCCTAATTCAGTCTCATTGACTCTCAGACAGGCTGTAAGAATGATTTTCTTGTTAATATCTTCAACAATTTTTTGTGACATATCAGTATATCATGATTTAATGCTCAAAATTTTGAAATATATCTTTTAATGGTTATCTAACACATTGGCCAATGTGTTAAGTTGTAGTACAATTTATGCGAGAACCTCGTTGTGACTATGTGAGATACAGTTATGATATATATATCATACAGATGTCATATACTGCCATAAATATAGAGGATGAGGGAAAAGTGTCTGTATAGTTGTTTCATTTAGAACATAGTTTAATTTCTAACTATCTGTTACTCTGAAACAAACAGTAATTATTTGGTTTCCATTTTCTTCATAATATTTTCTTTAGTACAAACTGTATCGTAACTTTTGCCTCACCGTGTAAATGGGTTATTGTACCAGTACCAAGCATAAACAGTAGCATTTACTATTACTATTTTATTACTTTTATTCAGTAAAAGTATTTATTATAAACTACACTGTAATGTTGTATTATAAATTACATGGAATTTAGTTTTGTTTTACGGTTTGGTTTTATGTTTTTTTTATCTTAGACCAAACACCCACACCAACAAGATTTATTTTAAACTGTGAAGAAGTGGGCCTGTTTCAAGATTTGAACCCATTTGAGGAACAGTTTCGTAAAGCTGCTCAGGCTGCTGCATCAGGACAGTTGACCATTCCAGAAGTACTTTTCTTTTTTAAGTAAAACAGAAAGAATGTGATTTAGATGTTTAATTTCTTTGTTGATACATTTTATAAACATTTTTTTAAATGAATATCTGGAATTTTAACATAGAACATCATAGGTATTTGGATTCTTAATTTTTGTAAAGAAGACAGATAAAAAAAAGAACATATCATTTAAATGCCAGACAAAAATGCTCAAAGAAATATGCCTGCAAAATAGCTAGTGTGTAGTTATAATTACAAATTGTAAATGAAACCAGACAAGCAACAAACATGTCCTGACATAACAAAACCATTTCTTCTGTTATGTCAAGAATTATTTCATCTTTGGTAAAACAGAGTTGCAAATCTTCATTACTGAATTCCCAAGAAATGATTTTTTTTAACTAATATAAACTATTCTTTCTAAAGGGGGGGGCTGGGTTTGGCCAAGTGGTTAGCATAGTGAGCTATGGATTGAAAGGCCCAAGGTTTAAGTTTTGATATGCCACTGAATACACTCTACACTTTCAGTTATGTGGATATTATAACCATGACAGTCAGTTCCTATTCAGTTAAGTAGACATTATATCTTTGACAGTCAATTCCTATTCAGTTAAGTTGGCATTATAACTATGACAATCATTTCCCATTCAGCTAAGTGGGCATTATAATATGGCAAATAATTCCTATTCAGTTAAGTGGGCATTATAAATATGGCAGTCAATTCCTATTCAGCTAAGTGGGCATTATATCTATGGCAGTCAGTTCCCATTCAATTAATTGGGCATTATAATTATGACATTCAATTCCTATTCAGCTAAGTGGGCATTATAAATATGTCAGTCAATTTTCTATTCAGCTAAGATGGCATTATAAATATGGCAGTCAATTCCCATTCAGTTAAGTGGGCATTATAACTATGACAATCAGTTCCCATTCAATTAAGTGGGTATTATAACTGTGATAGTCAGTTCCCATTCAACCAAGTGAGCATTATAACTATGACAGTCAGTTTCCATTCCACTAAGTGGGCATTATAATTATGACAGTCAGTTCCTATTCAACTAAGTGGGCATTATTACTATGGCAGACAATTCCTATTCAACTAAGTGGGCATTATAAACTATGGCAGTCAATTCCTATTCAGTTAAGGGGGTATTATAAACTATGACAGTCAGTTCCCATTCAGTTAAGTGGGCATTATAACTATGACAATCAGTTTCCATTCAGTTAAGTGGGCATTATAACTATGACAATCAGATCCTATTCAGTTAAGGGGGGTATTATAAACTATGACAGTTCCCATTCGGTTAAGAGAGCTGTATAACCTACTGTCTCGTAATTTTCTTGAATGAACTTATAATTCTCAACTTGCCTCTGGTGAAATGTAGCTCCCCCTGAGAAAATTAGTTATTAAGATGTGATAACTTTAATGACAGGGTTTTTCTTTATAAACATGCTGTATATTATATATATATTTGTCACTGGAAAAAGTTCAAGAGGATTGTTATTGTTAAAATATCAGATTTGGCTATGAAAAACAAACATACGCTCCCTTAAGTGTGGGTGGATGGGAGTTTAGGAGCACCTTTGTTGTGCAGCATGGAGTATAATTTAACCTGTTTGTTCATTATTATACGTATAATCTATTACAACAATCCAATAGTACTAACATTGATTTGATTTCATGTATTTTAAAATTTCTGTATTCCAAACGTATCTCCAGTAATTTCATATTGAAAAAAAAATTGGTGTCTGAGTCCAAGTTAATTATAGAATCAATTTACAGAACCAAGTCGGCATATTTCTTTTTGAAAAAAAATATGGCCGACTCACAGCAAAATAAAGTTAACATTTTGAAGTTTTCAGAAATGTACTTGTAACTTTCTTGTTTTTTATTTTCTTGATTATTACTAATTGTTGGTGTCTATTCTTTTTTTTTATGTGAAATTTCTATAAAATGTTTTATTTGCAACTTTAATTTAACCCCATTTTAACTTAAACCATATCACTTTAATATTTTTACACTGCAACAGTAACTACAAAAGTTTGTTCTTTATTTAAATTAGGCCTGGCACGACCAGGTGGTTAGGGAGCTCGACTCGCAATCTGCGGGTCGTGGGTTCGATTCCCCATCCCACCAAACATGCTCGCCCTTTCAGCTGTGGGGGAATTATAATGTGATGGTCAATCCCACTATTCATTGGTAAAAGAGTAGCCCAAGAGTTGGCAGTGGGTGGTGATGGCTAGCTGCCTTCCTTCTAGTTTTAAAATTGCTAAATTAGGGAATGCTAGCACAGATAGCCCTCGTGTAGCTTTGCGCGAAATTCAAAACAAGTCAAAACCAAAGCTAAAAAAAAAAACAAAAACAATTGTTCAAATTATTAAGTAAATGTTAGCAGAAATTTCCTTAATTTAAAATCACACTCTTATTTTACAAGCTGGTTTTATTTCTGTACGTAACAAAGTTAAATCTTAATATGACAGAATGTCTGATGGTAGGTCTCAGACATAGGGCTTAAATAGAGAAACACCCTATATTATCTTTTCTATGCAGAAATTTAATTTTGGGATCTAAAGAACCCCCTACAAATTCCTGTTTTAGGCATTTAAAAAAAAAAAGCAAGAAAATCTAATAAAATCGTTTTAACAAATAAATGTTGTAGGTCACAAACACAGCTAGAGCTCTTTTCTAAAATAGGAGAATGTTTGAGCCTGCATATACATGTAACATACTTTTTATATACTTACAAAATGACATAATGTCCCATGAGAAAAATGTAGCTTTAAGTGTTGTGGAATATTACAATTAAAATGTGTTAGAGATAGACTATCGTGTTATAAGACTGAATTTATCTGTATATGAAAGAAACTTGAAATATATTTGCCCAGTTGAGTGATACAGAGTTGATTTATTTCATGTTGTCACAAGCAATTAATTATATATATATATATATA